TGACATATACTCATGCTCTTCTCACCAGATAAAATGATTCGGAAACTTTCTGGTTCTCCATGGAGCTTATCTAGCAGGGCTTGCAGCTTTGGCACGCCTTCTTTCATTCGGATGAGCAGTTTCCAGACAGTGAGAGCTGCCAATGTTTGCTTCTCTAGCACTCCTTCCATCAAATTGCTGACACAGGCAACCACATCTTTTTCTTTAATAAGATCTTCAATTCTCTGTCAGCCACAAAAATGTTAAATGTTAAATCACTTCAAGTCACACGCAGCACCTTCGCAACACCTCTACACAAAAGCAAAGTTGCAGTACTCACAAGTGAGTGTCTGGCGCATTTTGACTGGCTGCTGTGTGTCGTACCATAGCAACCACAGCAACAAAACTGGCTGGCACAGCACTGCCACAGTTACTGTGCCTAGCATTTAATGAAGATTAGAAAAAGAACAACAGCAATTTACTACTCCAACTTGCCAGCTGTACTTCACTCAGAGAATCCATTGTTGACATTCAGCAGAACTCCAAAAATGAATCCATTAACAAAGCAACTGAAACTGCACTGAAGTTGAATTAAATGCTATACATACGTTACTAGTTCCATCTTTAAGCATTACTGAACCTTTTTTAAATTTCCACTCAGAATAGTGAAGTGGTGCAATGGGTTAAAACAAACTACAGAGCAGATGAAATCCAAGTCAGCCATCATCGGAAAGAACGTTTTCTAAGTTTCAATTTTGAAACATTTTGAGAATGCCTTGAAGTGTTAAGAGTGGGGAACGTAGCTGCACAAAATTACCTGACCATAGCCACACGTCTTAAAAACAAAATAATCAAACTGCAATATTAACAAGCAGATCCACCCTGACATATATAAAAACAAAGATAAAATACATTAATTTTTCAGATAAAAACAAGCAATAGCCGTCGTTGAAGCAAGTTACCCATCTTCTTGGTATGGAGAGCTCCTAGGTTCTGCAGCAGAACCTAGAACATACAACAACATTGGACAATCCAAAAAACATTGAAATTGAAGAAGCATTTTCCATAAACAGAGACCCAAAGTCAGATTAGTATACTTAACCAAAACTCATCTCACCTAACATTCTCCAAGCTATCCTTCACATATTGTCCCCATCTTATGGTTTTCTACACCCTGCCTTACCAAGCCACACAATCCCCATTGGCCCAAAGCCACCTTTGTCTCATTTCCATGCTGACTCCGATTGCTCTTCGACATTCCTTCCAGCAGCATTTCTCAGATACATTTTGAAAGATCAAATTAATGCTCACAGCATCAGTTATTTCTAAACCAAACACATGGAAACACTGACTTAACTTACATCAGACCACTACTTCTCTCCTTAAAACAGTGAAGGGGGCAAGAGCACTTTCTCAATTTCCACACGATCCTAAATGCTGATCTGAGCTCGTGTGGGACGGCTCGCTGAACAGATCGTCATTGAGGCGATTTAGGTAATGCTGGCACAAGTTCGTTTGCCAGCTACTGTATGTTAACATCATTCGTGGAAAGCATAAATCCTGGTGCTTCTCTGATTTACACCAGCTTTCAAAACAAAAACAACCACTTCACAACTGTCAGGGAGAATCTGCACCAATCTTCTCTGATGTACATAGACAGACACCATCTTTGCATGAGGACAGTAACAACCATTGGCAGCTGCAAGTCTATCACATTTTCCAGTCTTTTGGGCCCTACATGCACCAGACTCCCTCCACTCCAAACACAAGTAACAATCTCTCTGTTCATAGTGAGATTCTAGTCCTCGTTAAATAATTTTAAAAATGAACAGTTAGCAACCTATTCCTTGAAGCTATAAGAAATGCAGAGATTAGGAGGAGTTAAATGCGATTGCAAACAGATCATCTTACAACTCAATCCTGTTGCCTTGTATGAGATGGATCACAAAAATGAACTACTCAGCACTGAATATTACAATGATGTTTTAAATATCTAATTAGCCAACGTGCTCTATAAACAGAACATAGCTGGTGTACACCTTAAACTGACCAATCAAAATTAATTTTCACAGACAAATAATTCTTATGCCAAACATCAACTGCTGCAGTGTTTAAGATGCATTAAATGCTGTACTCAGAACCCAATCACTTTTGCAACCCACAAGTCTGAATTAATTAGACGCAGAAATTATTCTAAATTATAAGTTTCTTTAACAGTTTTAAATACAAGTCATACACACTGATTAAAACAGTACAATAACATTTTAAAATAGCAGAGGATCAATAAATTAATTAAAATGCAGTCATACTTTCGAAACAGATTTGCATTCAACAGACTGTCGATCCAGTTGTTATCGCTGTTATATATTGGGGTATAGCTTCTAAAAAAAACTCTACTAGTTGAAGAACAAAATAGTTGGTACTTCGTGGAACACAAACAATTTGAGACACATTGCAAAAATGCAAAAAAAGGGCACATTAAAAAAAAAAATTGATTCATAATACTTCATAGCATACATTAGCATTCATAGTTATGGAGCTATGGTGGGGACTTGAGCTGCTAACCTTTGAATTACTGGTATGGTAACACAGCCACTAAATTCTTGTATCCTTCTTAACATTGACATCCATTGTCATAATAATGGTTTCTGAAATAGGAAGAAAAGATGGTACCCTACAGACCCTAGCACAGTAAATTAAATACCGAAAGCAGAAACCACAGGAGCTTCAGGTTACATGTTTTCTGAAACATTATTTTAATTTATAAATTCCATGTTCATTTCCATGGAGAGGGGTTCCCTCTCATAACAACTATGGATATTCTCTGAACACATCATATTTGGTTGCTGCTTGACCACACGGTAACAGCTTTCGAAGATATGAAACAATTTTCTATTTGACTCATTCCTAGGTCCTGCTCCTTACTGTCTCATATGCACTTACCTTGTTATTAACTCTGGATACTATAATATGCCCAAATCAAGCAATTTCTTTCACTCCTCGTAATATTCAAGTTTTTGACAAATAAATGAGTTTAAAAGAGTGAAACGAAAGAAGGTCTATCTAGATAGCACTGTATGAAAAAAAAAATCAGCTAGTACCTCAAAAAAAACTTACAACCCACAATGTTCTGTAATTTTGCTTTGCTGCATGCTGCCTGATTGGTTGTATTTTATAGTCACTTTATAATTGTCAAATGGTGAAAATCTGCATGACACAAAAGGGGCCACTTTTTAAATAGAATCTGCTGGCCCCTGTATAGCACGTTCTGGACTGCTGCAAGGCCACATACACCATAGCTGGTTGGAAATGCTGACCCATACCATATCCTACTTGACCAGACAAAAATACATTTATTTCATACCTCTTTTTCACCATCAGATATGTCCTCAGCAACAGACAGGACGTTACGCAGAGGCTGAAGATCAGTTACTGCGTCAATAATATTATTTTGATGTCGCTTCAGCAAGTCAAACCCATAATCTTCTGGGCTCTTTGATTCTGTTGAGAAATTTAAATATTTATAACCAGTCCAAAACTTTACTTTCTTCTTTACTCTTCCTTTCTTCCAACAAATACTCATTTGTCTATGTTACTGCGAAAGCCAACTTTCAAAAATATGAGATAGTAGGAACTGCAGATGCTG